CAAATGTAGTATCTTGCAAATGTAGCATCTTGCGATTGTAGAATCTTGCGAATGTAGCATCTTACAAATGTAGCATCTTGTAAATGTCGTATCTTGCAAATGTAGCATCTTGTAAATGTCGTATCTTACAAATGTAACATCTTGTAAATGTCGTATCTTGCAAATGAAGCATCTTGCAAATGTAGCATCTTGCAAATCAAGCATCTTACAAATCTGGCTTTTTCGATGTGTAAGCTAATCCGGAGTTTTGTAATTGCTGTTCTGTGTCGAATGTTTGTATCTTTTAGATATTTTTCCTCGCCGTACATATTTTTTTAATAATCTGTATCACTGTTTGTTATTTGTTCGTGGAAGATTATAAGACAGCATTGTGTGTTTGTAGATGATCTGATGACTGCTTCCACTGACAGTGTTAGAAATACCCACCTGCAGTCGCAATATTGCAGAAGAAAAATTAAGCAACCTGCAATTTTGCAGACTGAAAAAAAATCAGGGGTTTAAAATTACGGTGTTTTAAGAGCTTTTGTGTTTACTACTGACTCTATAATATGCACTTGTAGCTTAAGCATGTATCTTTCAACTTGCATGTAAAATGTTTGCCAGCGTGCAATTTTGTATGTACCATGGGTTTGGACGCGGAATTTTAAAGTGTGTATTTGCAGAAAGTGTTTCCGAATTGCAGAACAAAATTTTGACATTCTGCAATATTGCAGAAAATTGAAAAAGTTATTTCTACCACTGTACTGAAGTAAGCTTGAATATTGCCAGGTTTGACAAAACACCTATGCCGGCGGTGAGGCCATTACGCCCCGGCTAATGTCACCTTGCTGCCGGACCCGGCCTCGCCCATCTTCTTGACAGGTCCCGGGAGACGGGGCTTTACTTGGCCTTATTTCACGTAATTTAAATGCCCGTCTTAGCGGCCTTGCCTCGCCAAATTGCCGCGGCCCGGGAATATCTGGAGCGGGGGACAGTCGGGGCGTGCCCCGCTGCCCACACACGGGTCGCGACCTCGGGCTTCCACTGGGTGGAGTTAAAGAATGGGCCAGACTTTGAGGCAAGGCAAGGGCATTCTGCCAGAAATATGCTAGGGCTAGGAAAAAATGTTGTTTTTCCTGTTTCAGTCCTTTAAAAAACTAGGGTCGGTAGGCAGGGATTATCTTTTTTCTTTGGCAATCTCTAGTGATCCAGTTTAACAAAGTAAAAATTACATCAGGACATGCATAGTTTCAATGTCAATGTTGGAAAACCGATTGTACAACGTTTCATCACTCAGGTGTCAGATCATGGACCTAGAAAAGGTCGATCAGCTCGAAAAATGTATAGCTCTTGCAGGGGTTCATTAAAAAAGGCTACGGTCGGCAATTTTTTCTAGGGTCGGTTGGAAAACAAGAAACACAACATTTTTTTTATTGTTCACACCTTAAAGAACATAGTACAACACAAAGTGGTAGCGCACTCAGTAGCTAAGACTTTTTAACGCTACCACTTACTCATAATGAAAGAATTAACAAAAAGGAATGCAATATAAAGGAAATACAGATGATACTAGAAAGGCCGACATTTGCTGTGGAGCAAATTCAGCATGGCTTCACCACATTTCACGACATGGCAGGGAAAGGAGAAATACAAAGGAAAACAATGCTTTATATTGATATAACTATATATTTATTGTTTATTTCAGGCTCAATGGCCCATAGCACAGACAGACAACATTACACAAACACATCTAAAAATAAAACATCTAAGTGGGTACAAGTGGATAAAAGACTGTCGAGCCCTTACGGCGGGCGGACCAGTCTACAGTAATGGCTCCAGAATGGGCTCGAGCAGAAGGTCTCCGAGCGGAGCAGCAATTTGACAATTGCGTTCTCAGACGCTAACAGACGAGAAGCAAAAGAACACAACAACTTCCGACGCCTGGCGTCAAACGTGTCAACACGAGTCTGTACAAATAGGTCGCTGTTACTAGTGCTCCTAGGCTGAGACAGTAGGATTTTAAGACCATC